TTATTGAGAATAGAGTTACTGGTATTATTTATGGTAGTTATAAACTGAACTAGTGACAATGCTAAATATTTAACAAATTTTTTATTGCCCAGCTCAGTGATGGAGAGAACCTTTTAGGGGCTGAGTGCCCAAACTAAAAGGCCTTCCGGCGCCAGGTGTTACCCAGTGTTGAGGGCAGGATTTCCGCCCTCCAGAGCTGGGACTTCTGGGGCAGGACTTCTTTCCCCTGCCCTCCCGGGACTTCAGCTGCTCATGCACTTGCCTCTTCTGCCTCCTCCCCCTGCACTATCCCCAGCCTTCGGCTGCCTCCAGAGAGGCAGCTGAAGGCCTGGGACATCCAGGAAGGAGGAGGACCAGGTGCATGCCTCTTCCTCCTCCTCCCTGCCCTCTGCTTTCCGGGGAAAATGACTTTGTGTGCCATCTTTGGCACGTGTGCCATAGGTTCGCTGTCACGGGCCCAGCTCATTCTTTATTCAAAGTCTAGTTCTCTTGGACTTCTGTCCAAGCCTAACATTTCTTTTGGATAATGTGTCAACTGTAACTTCCACTCTATTAAAAGGGCAATACTTACTTATAAAGAATCATAAGTGACTTCCATAAGATCATTCCAAGTGGAAACAGATATAACATTCAACTTATAAATACGCTGATAAATCAATGGCTCGTTCAAACCACTAGGTATGCCTTAGCACAGCAGGTTTCTCTCAAAACACATTTTGGTTGCTTGGAAGAATTATCTGTCTTTCCAGAGACTGAAATCCTCACCATTGGCTATATGGGCTAGGGATGATGAGAGTTGGAGTTGCAGCAACATCTGGAGAACCACATGACCCTTGCTTTTGCACTAAGAGGTAACTGTCTTCAATAACACCTGCCTAGGAGTATTGGACTATGACTCTGGAGACCAAGGTTCGATTCCAGCTCAGCCCAGAAATCCACCGGATGACCTTGGGCAAGTTGCATGCTCTCAGCCTCAGGGGAAGGCAATGGCAAACCTCTTTTGAACAAGTCTTGCCAAGAAAGCCCCATGATAGGTGACCCCCTTACGGTTGCCCTAAGTTGGAAATGACTTGAAGCACATAACAACAAAGTAGAACTCCCAAACAACTCATTTAGTTTGTCCTTTAACACTTACCTCTTCTTTCTGTACAGCTTTCTTTCATTTCCTTAGTACCACACATGGGTGATACAAACTGTGAATCTTTCTTTTTCCATTCCCCTTATTGTTTGTATAAAATCATTATCTCTCTTCATAGTTCACTCTTTCTCTGATGTACCCCAGTATCATACCAAGACCCTTCCTTGTCCTCTCTATATATCCTTTAGCACAGCAGGTTTCTCTAAAAGCACATTTTGGATACTTGGTTTAAGACAGGCGTAGGCAACCTTTATAAGGTCTGTGCCGGTCCCCCAAAGTCCTCCTTTCCACTGGGCTGGGAGGGGGAATGGCGGTGCGCGCACACACACCCCGCTGCCATGCGCGACCCCCCCCCGCGAGGCCGCAGCTGGCGCCGCACATGTCGCGGCCGCCATTTTGATTTTCAAAATGGTGTCCGTGACATGTTTGCGCATGCACAGGAGTACTGTGCATGTGCAAACGAGTCACAGCCGCCATTTTGGAGAACAAAATGGCGGCCGCAACTCATTTGCACATGCGCAGTGTGCAAATGCGTTGTGGCCGGATGGAGGCGAAAACGTGCCATAGCGGCGGCGTGCGGCTGCGGCAGCAGCAGCAGGGGTCTGCCTGGGCTGGTAAGTCCGGCGACCTAGGCCGGAACTGGCCCGGGGGCCGTAGGTTGCCGGCCTCTGGTTTAAGACATAGTCATGTAGTGTGGACAAACTCAGTCTAGTACAGAAGGGGAAATTTGTGGCTCTCCACATGCTGGACTGTATCTCCCATCATTTCTCATCACTGGCTATCCTGGTTGAGGCTGATGGGAACAAAAGTCCAAACACTATTATGAGGGCTGCAGGTTTTCTAAGCCAAATGAGTGGATACAAAGGGATCCAATTCCCTTGACTTTGTTCATTCTATTTAGAAGTCCTGAAGAAAATGGAAGAGTTGGGGAGGGGAGGTAGAAGTGTGATGACTCTTTTACCATTAGGTTTATGAACTGGGCAAGGTGCCCAACATAATACTATCCTGGCTGGCTGATGAATATATTTCTATGCATTAATTCTTTCTTCTAAGAGTTGCCCAAGATGATAGAAAGTCCACAGGCCAAGGGCAGATTTGACATCATAAATGATTTCTCTTTCTAATGTGCTGTTTGTTTTTCCTAGAGCCATAAAAGTCAGAAAAAGAGGAAACACCTGATTAATATTTGAATAGGCTGCTGGGAATATTGACCTTGCCTCTCTTTCAAAGCCATTAGTGTTCTCCTAACCAAGATCCTTCTATAATGCCCCCAAATCAGCTGTGATGGGTACCACATGCCCTCCAGATGTTGAACTGCACTTTCCAGCAACCTGAGTCAAATGGTGAGGAATACTGGGAATTGTAGTCCAGCAACATCTGGAGGTCTGCATGATTCTTATTCCCAAGGCTAGGCTTGGCTTACTATCATGCAATCCTAGCAGTCCTCATAAGGTATCAAAGAACTTGTTTTTTGTTTTGAATGTGCTAACATTCAATGAGCCAGAGTGATGTAGCTTAATGTTGTTGTTGTTGTTGTAATGTGCCTTCAAGTCATTTCTGACTTATAACAACCCTAACATGACCAAATCAGAGTCATAGGGGTTTCTTGGCGGGTTTCTTCAGAGGGGTTTGCCAATGCCATCCCCTGAAGTTGAGAGAGTGTGACTTGCCCATGGTCACCTGGAGCTTAGAAGGCTGAGCCAGAATTTAAACCCTGGTCCTAGTCCTAGTCTAAAGCTCCTTAAACCATGCTGGTTCTCATGTAGCTTAATATAACTGTTTATCTTGGATTCAGATCTTCAGTCAGCCAAGATAGTCAAATGGGTATCCTTGTCCCAGTGCTGTTACAGAGGGACAATTTTAACCCTCTTTATAAAGTTGTTGTACACTCCTTGGAGGGAGTGTGGAATACAACTGCAATAGAGTTCTTTTTTGCATGCTAGTTGTAGTATGTACAGGTGAATTTTGGAAAATCAACATTAAAAGAATAATTTATTTTCATAATGGCTCTTCTCTTTTCATCTTTCTTTCACAAAATCCACATGGAATGTACACTGCAAAGAAAGAAAATGAAAAATTTAAGCTTCATATAGTCTAAGTATTATGCTTAAGCAGGTTTCTTTGTTTTCTTTTTTTAATATAAAATATATAAAAGGATTAAGATTAAAACCAAATAACAAGATCAACCCAAGAACAGTCTTTTTCTTTAAATGATACACCACATCCATTGGGGGATTCCATTATGTCAGAAAGTTTTTCCATTAAAAGGGAGTCCCATATTCTTTGCCACCAATTCTCCAGATGTTATTGACCTGTTTCCCACTTCTGAGTAATCTCTACCCTTATAACAGCAATAAAAATTATATTAAATGTTTATATTTAAGGTTTTTGTAATGATCAATAAAAATTGACAAAAGTACTAAAATAGAGCACAAATAAAATTTTTGATTAGTAATCTGAGAGATTATAGAGAGAACCTGTTCCCAAAAGGTAAAAATTCGAATACAGTAAAACCATATATGGAGATATGTTCCTCTAGTTGAACAACCTCTCCAACAAAAAGGAGAGGAGCTTTTACTAATATAAGTCAAGAAAACAAGGATTATGTATCATCGATGGATCAGTTTTAAGGAACATTCTTTAATGAGAGTCGATCAAGAACTAAATGGGGGAAGTTTCTTCATTTTCTAATGTGTAACTTTTGCAGTTACAAGTGCATAAAAACTGTGTATGTAGGGATATGATATGTGTATGATATGACAGAGATAACAGGAAGAGTACATGTGCTTGAAAAGTGTTAGTTTATGGAGGCTTCCCTGTTCCCAGGGGTGTAGCTACAGGGAGAGAGGAAGTGATTGCCACACCAAATGAGAAGTTTGGCACTCAAATAAAATTTTCTTTCAGCTTCCAAATTTCCAACTCTCAGGATTATGCCTGCTTGTCAGAAATATACCACTATACGCTAATTTCCTTAAAACCAGTCTGAGTTAAAACCAACCACTACCTATTCCCTAGTAGCATACATAAGTAGATATGTTTTAACTTGCTTCCAAAGACTAAAGTATGGAAGAGGACTGGATATCTAACAGAAGGGAGCCACACTAAGGACCTTATCACACGGGGTCTAAAGCAGACCTAATCCAAAGGATATCCATAGCTAATCCGTATTAGTTCCTCGTGTTTACACACAACGTTGCACCGAAACTCGACAGAACCCGAAGCTAATCCATATTAGTTCCCCGTGTTTACACACGACGTTGCACCGAAACTCGACAGAACCTGGAGCTAATCCGTAATGAATTAAGATCTTTTGACATTCGGTTTTTCGGGGAAGTACAAGCGAGCTTTCGGAATTATTGAGCAATGGCCGCGCAGGCGAAATACATATGGTCACGCAATACGTATTGTGAAGCATTTCAGTTCATTTCGGTATAGAACTGAATTTATTCTTATTTTGGTTACTTTTCGCTTCATGGCCAGCGTGTGATAAGGTCCTAAGAAAGACCTGCTATATAGAATCATAGAGTTGGAAGTGGTCTCATGAGCCATTGCATCCAGCTCCCTGCTCAGTGCAGGATTTCCAGCTAAAGCATCACCAGCAGGCAGCTGTCCAGCCACCTTTTGAAGGCACCCAGAGAAGGAGACCCCACCACCCCTCTAGGCAATCACTTCCATTGACAAACCACTCTCACTGTTAAAATGTTCCTTCTAAAGTTCAATTGAAATCTACCCCCCCCCCTGTAATTTCAAACCATTAGATCTGACCCTTCTCTCTGGGGCAGCAGGGAACAAACCTACACCTCCTCCCTGTGATGGCTCTTGAGGTATTTAAAGAGTGCAATTGTGTCATCCCTACATAAAAGTCAGTGTGGTGCAGTGGTTTGAGCATCAGATTATGACTCTGAAGATTGGGGTTCAATTTCCAGCTTGGCCATGGAAACCTATTGGAGGACCTTGGGCAAGTCACACACGATCATGTAAAGAAAACCCCGTCATAGGCTCACCTATGGGCTGCCATAAGCCAGCAATGACTTGGATTGCATCCTCACCACAAAATAATCCAGTTTGACAACACTTTAAATGCCATGGCTCAATGCTATGGAATTCTAGGAACTATAGTTTTGTGAAATATTTAGCCGCCCCTGTCAGAAAGCTCTGGTGCCACAACAAACTACAATTCCTAGAATTCCATAGCATGGAGCCATGGCTGTTAAAGTGGTGTCAAACTGGATTATCTCTGCAGCAAGGCATACAAAAAAAAAACAAAACATGTGCCTCAGCATATGTGTAAGTTTTTATAACTTATCACTATAGGTTGTGACACATCATGCAAAAAATGGCCTGGGCAGGTGTTATGCAAGTTAGAGATTGTGGGCTTGTGAAGGCATGCACCAGATGTTGGGATTCACTCTTGCTTACAAGAGTCTGTGTGACCATTGCACTATGTGGGGCATTGTGCAAATAGGTGTTTCTCTAGAAGGCTCATCTGCCAAAGAACTAGGTTCAAATCCTCTGTCTATGATATCAAGGCCATTTTCTGATTTGTCCATGGGTTCCCACTGGGAGGAGATTATCTACTCATTTACTAGGGTTCCTATTCATGTCATTATTTCCTGCTTTAAAGCAAGCAAGCAAGCAAGCAAGCAAACAAGCATCCTTCCTGCTAACACAGTGTCAATGGGTAACAGGAGTGAGTGGGCGTAAAGAGCTGTATTTGCCAAAGATTTATTTTTGCTAGCTCAACAGTAGAGATAAGATAAGTTGAGCCTTTCCCCACAGTCATAAAGAGAGAAATGCAGAATAACCAAAGCCCTTCAGCCTTCATAAGGGCCACTGACAGTTTGTTAAGCACATGACATAGGTCAGGAGAACCCTAGGATGATTTGGGTGGAGCATTAAAAGCTAAATGAGAGAAAAATGAAAGGTGTTCCTTCCAATATATGTGTGTAAGTACTGTAACACAGAGCACAATCTCACAGCTTAGCAGATTTCATATTTGAATTCCCTCCATTAAAAAAGAAAAACCGTCTCTGTGCAAATAGAGAAGCAGGGCACTAGGAAGAAAAACTGATTACCTCTCTCTGCTATATATTAATTTCCAAAGGGCAGATTCCTCACCCTCAGTCTGAAGTGGAACAGTCCAATAAGAACTGTACCATCGAATTCTGCTTGGTTTCTGGAGAAAAGGGGGGCTCAGCTATACTTACACATGGAGGATGGTTTTATCCATTAATGAATATCAATTGTGCAAAATGAAAAATAAAAATCTGTAGAATGTAGGGGTGGAAGGAGTAACAAAGTCTAACTTCTATGCTCTTCCCCTCCCTTCATACACAGTTTTTATGCACTGGGACAAATGAGGGCAGGCAATAATCATCTATCAGCCCATGACAGGTCAAGCTGTGTAAATCCATGTGGCACAAGGACAGGCACTACAAAATGAAAAGGAGGAAGGGAGGTGAAGCATTTCTCATTTAAAGCATTTCTCATTTGCTCTTCAGCCAAAAAGCCTTCCAGAGCAGCTTACCTATGATCAATAAAAAGTTTTAAACAAGACAAAACACAAGAGTAAAAAAAAAAAGTGTGTGTGTGGGGGGGAGGAAAACAAGCAAACCCAGGTACCAGCTCTTCAAGACACTGTAGTTTATTTATTTGCTACATATATACTCCACCTGTCCTCAAAACCATTCTTCAAAATCAGCTGCCAGGAATGGCTGGGAAATGCCTTGGGGACTCCCGGTGGCATCGATGGCATTCTCTTGTGCAGTAAATTGCGTTTTTGCCCCGTTCCATTCCCTTCTGTTCCCATTCCTTAAGTGCCATGTGATAAGCTTGATTAACAGGGCTACTTCTTTGCAAACTATCCACATTATAGAATGGTGATTACAGAGCAATGGTTACAGATGCACAGAGGCTGATCTGCATATTGTGAGGGAAGGCAAACATTTCTCCAGTTTTTGCTGTCTTCCTCCCAGTTACAGTTGCAATTTATTCCAGTTGTAGTTCCTCAGCTTTTCTGGAAGAAAAGTTACTACAGACAAGATATTCCAGTGAGGATGAGATAGAGAGTATGCTTTCCCCCCCTGTTCAAGCTGGATTTATCCATTATCAATCCATTAATCTGAACAAGCTATACACGTTGGTATCTGTTTCTGCTAAATGCACATTTGAAAAGGACAACTGACACAAAATCAAACAACCAAACAATGATTGAGGGTATGTAATATTGTTGGGAAACAAGCCTAATTTTGGGGAATTCATAATTAGGTCAAATGTGAGAGTGAAGTGCCCAACTTCGCTTCTAAGACCTTATTCAATTGTATACCAGAGATGTAAGAGTTCTGGCAAGGATTGACACTGAAATGGACCAAACTCCAATCAAAGTCTGAAAATATTTATTAACAAAATAAGCAAGCACACACACACTAGTAGAATAAGTGGGGAAGAGAGAGAGCAGGGGATGCAGAGAGGGAGACCAGGATAGAGGGGGATATACTCACACCCGAGGGACTCCTCTGGACTTCTGGTGGCAAATGAGGATGAATTCTGTGGAAGGGGCATGACCGGCAAGAGAGGGGGGGTCGTGGGAACTATCTCACAGCACAGTCTGACAGAGTTTCAGCATGCATTTCCAAGGTAGCACAAGCTCTGCTAAAATCCAGGGGTTCTTATAGGGAATTTCTGCCTCCTGGCCATGAGTTAAACAATAGGTGGACAAAGGCTTGATGGGTTTACCATTGTTTACCTAAGCATGGGCATAGTCTAAACAATGCATTTGGTTTCAAAACTATCAAGGAAAGGAAGCTAGAGAAAGGGGTGCAATCAAATCTGATCACTGTCCCATTGAGTGTGAGACTAAGACAAACAAACACCATTCAGTATCTTTTCCAATATAATAGGATATTCCCAAGGGCAACTCCCAAAACCTGCCTGTCCAGGAAATCTCTAGTGGTCTTGAGCAATTTCAGCTTGCTTACCTGACCTTACATCTAGGGGATTATGGCTGCCATCTACCAAGGGTCAGTCTGGGGTCATAGGGAACTCCACATGGCTAAAATATATAGGAAAAATGGAGCACATTCATATGTAATATGGATGATATGTAAACAATCGGCAGGCCTATTGTTGAAAATAAAGAAAACAAAAATAATAAGGAGAATCTAGACAAATTCAACCTAGACAATGAAGAAATAGAAGTAGTAAAAGAATTCTCATACCTCGGATCAAGCACTGATAGAAATGGGGACTGCAGTCAGGAAATCAGAAGAAAATTAAGAATGGGGAGGGTGGCTATGAAAGAACTAGAAAAGATTCTAAAATGCAAAGTTACAAATCAGTACAAAAGTCATAATCATACAAGCCATTGTATCCCCCATTACAATGTGTGGATGTGAGAGCTGGCCAGTTAAGAAAGAAGATAGGAGGAAAATCAATTTATCTGAGATGTGGTGCTGGAGAAGAGTGTTGAGGATCCTGTGGACAAACAAAAGGACAAACAAATGGGTCCTAGAGCAGATCAAGCTTGAAATCTCCCTGGAAGCCAAGGCTGGTGTATTTCGGACGTATCATGAGAAGGCACAACTCATCGGAAAAAACAATAATTCTAGGAAAGGTGGAGGGAAGCAGAAAGAGAGGAAGGTTGCATGCAAGATGGATGGACTTTATGAGTTTTCAGGAATTGGGCAGAGCAGTGGAGGACAGGAGGGCCTGGAGATGTCTCATCCATAGGGTCGCCATGGGTCGAGATCAACTTGAGGGCAGTTAACAACAAAAAATATGGAATTACCATTGGCAATGTATGGTAGGGAAACTGCCTGATAGATGTAACAAAATGCAATATTTCTTATGTATTCTATTTAATCCTGTTGTTAATAAAAATTAAGTTTTTTTTTTTTTTTTAGGACAACTTATACTATGTATTCTTCAGCCACCAATGATCTATTACAAATCCCAGGCTGCATCCGCACTGGAGGAATAATGCAATTTGATACCCCTTGACTGATGTGGTTCCATGCTATGGAAATCTTGGATTTGTAGTTTTGTGAGACACTTAGTCTTCTTTCTCAGAGAGATCTGGTACCACATACAAATCCCTGGATTCCATAGAATAGGGCTGTGGCAGTTAAAGTCATGTCAGACTGCATTATCATTTCTTCCCCACCCACATGTGTCATTTGTAATTGTACATTAATAATTCTGGAATTGATTGATTCTTTTTCTTTTAGAGCAAAATGTTATTGGGCTTTTTCATCATTACATTATTGCTGATCTGTCTTGACCTTGTCCTGTCCTACGGGTTTTCAAATCAACAGCTTTAACTGTGCTTCTCCTGTACCCTTAATATATGTCTCTTTCTTTTGACTTTCCTTTCTTTTCTAGTTCTACTCCTATCTTTTCCTTTAGGCAATCATTCAGTTAATTTTATTTGTTGTTTTCTACTACAATAGTATATATTAAATGTAAAATAGTATATATTAAACAGTTACTCTTTTGACCACAGTATGTTCCTACTATAATTTCCCTACTATGCATCACCATGGTGACTACATTCACTTTATCTCTCACTTCCTCTGCTGCAGTTATTTTGGGGTTAAGATTAATATTTCACCACATCTGGTTCCATTCTAGATCCCATTGGTTCAGTCCATGGCCTCAATGAATGTGGATGATGGGTGTTACAGTTCCAAGAGGGACCTCCACACACTGTTACGGCTTGTCCTGCTGCACTCTATGCAACACAGAGGTTCACAGACTTGATCCCACTGTGAATCATCTTGGATGATACCTTCCCACAGCTCCTGTCATCCACAAATAGCCCAACACACACAGACTTCTTGAATTGCAGGGACTTCCTTTTGTATGAGAGATGGGAGATGCAGTTCTACCTTTAACTTTCTTGCATTGCACTATATTGCAACTCCCAGCATCCACAGA